CGAGACACCGATGCGCAGAGGTTTTGACTCCGGCAGGTGTATTGGTAAACACCTTGCAGGAACTGATGTGCATATAGAAGAATTCTGCTAGAGTGCACTGACACCTATGGCCCTTCGGGGACACGGTAATGGTGCCGGGGCAACCCTTGCGGAGAAGGGCATACTCATGATGGTCGGAGTAACCTGATGGGGGAGTTTCTGGTATAAGTCTGACTACTTAAAGATTATACGAGAACTCTCCTACCCTGACACAATCAACATCCGCTCGAGAGACTTTAATTGAAATAAGCCTGAGCTTAACGATATTAAGTTTTACCATTTACTTTTATTCTTTACACTTTGCAAGAGCTGTGTTCGAGAGATTTGAAGTTTGGTGCGGTCATATCCTTAGGAGCCATCTACCTGAGGGAGCCCCCGTTACACTTTATAACCCACAAGGAAAATCATTCACTATTAAATATATGTGATAGGTGAGTAACTGTGAATCAGGATGTGATGTATAAATAAAGAACCAATCGAAAACCAGTTATTGAGCCAAGAGTTTTCCATATAGGTTTTGTGATCGAAAAATTAGATATGTAGTTTCCCTACGTTTATATAAGAACATGTATTAATTAATGATAAAGAGTAATCAATAACTTTTAAGGATATTTGAGTATCTCATGAGTCCAATGGAAATTGGAAGTGTTCTCCAGTACTAGAAGTCAAAATTGATACAAGCTTAATGAATATGAATAGATCTGCCTAAGGGTAGAATACAGCTATAGTATAAAAATAGTTGATATATTTTTATACCATCAAAATAATCACTATCTAATAATAGATCTAACCTATAGTATAGCATATTTTTTAACTAATGTTTCACTTTGCTATTATAGATTATATATGACAACCTTTGTAATTTTTTCTAAATATTAACTAGAGTATTCCAACTACAATTCCTATATACACAACAGCACTAAATAACCTCAAAATAATTTCTGTACAGTCTCTAGAAGGTATTACTTACTATAAAACTAATTTTAGAGTCGTAAATAAAAGTATTTTTATTTTTAATTGTTCTTTTACACTATTTCAATCACGGTAACTAAACTTATATATTATTAATGATAACCATGGCATTTATACTGTATGTAGTTTAATCCAAGACAATCTCTTATATCTTAAGTACCAAGACTTATACTTTTGTCTCTGAGTTCTTTCATATATACTTTTGAGTTCCAGTTATAGAATATGTAGTTTTTGTTCAAATTTCACCCTAAAACTGATTGATTCAAGCTTTAATATAGAATAACACAAAGAAATCATATTTTAACTTTCTGATTATATATATTTCTATTCAAGCTAGTCACTAATCTAGATGTAGATTTCATTATTTTATTTACTTACTTTTAGATTTATTGGGGAAGATTAAATGTTGGGGTATTAGCTGGTATCCATTGCTATGGAGGGGTGCGAAGACTTTCTGGACACGACTGTACATATTAGAGAAGGAGAAAGAGTGGACGGGATAAATGGGTGAACGAGTAGGATCGTACGAGTGGAGCTGTAGGGGGGTTGGGTCACCAAAACTAGTGTATGGGTATGGACAGGATTTGAATACCCCCTGCTTGCATGTCATAAGCACTACGCGGTTAGTATCTGCCCTTGGATTGCGGGTGGCAGACGGGACTTCATCGTTTTTTCTTCCATGCACCACACAACCAGCACCAGCAGCTGTGCCGTGGGGAGATGTATAGGGGTCATTCTTCTCCTTTTATTCCACTACCTGTATGGGCTCGGAGTATGATGGTAAGTTTTTTTCTTTTTTTTTTGGATTCCGGGCTTGGTTTTCCTTTCTTCTACTCGGGAACCAGTCCGGATTACCGGTATTGTGAATCGTACTCGATAGTGTCTCGTTCGGCGCAGTAGAAGCTCCTGGTTCTTTACCGGTTTCAATGTTTCGTATTCGGTTCTGTATCAATGTCTGCCGTGCCTCCCTTCCTTCCTTCTCCTATAACCATCTGCCCTTATATACATTGACAATGAGAGAAAATTCCTTGGGGTCTCCTAATACACTCCCGGTAACCCCTCTTTTACCCCGCTTCCTGTTTCCATGAACATCTCTCAACATCTCTTTTACCCCTCTTTTGTCAACTAATCATACTCTTCCATATTCCCACATGTTATATATTTCCATGTCTCCCGAGCAGACTTACTAGTAGATCAGTACAGGACTTTGCAGAGAAAAACCGAAAACCTTCCATCCTGCTGATAAATGAAAAACCCATAAGCATTACAAACACGAAACCAATACTAACTTGAGGGACTTCTTCGCTACCCCGCAATCCCGATACGTAATCAGGATAGGACCATTACCCCAAGTACAGGTGATTTGCAATATGGATGTGTAGAAATCTAAGTGGGAGGGCTGGCGGGATATCTTTTTTTTATCGATTGATGGGGCTTGCTCGTAGTTGTAGGGTAATATACGGGAGCGCAAAAAGGGAGTACTGTAGCTTGAGGGAAAGTCTGACCAACGTGGGTTCTAGAATCGGAATGGGATTAGCAGTAAAGATACCCTTGGGAATATATATGTATTGATACGTCTTGTTTTAAAGAAATTCCTTGTGTGAACTAGTGCTAGTACCAGCACACATTCAACCATTTCGGAGCTAGACATCTGGGATGGCAGTTTCTATTCATTGGCTCCTTCCTGAATTTCAATCTTTTCTAGTAATTTAAAGGTATGCAGAAAGTGTTCCTGTCGTGTCTGTTTGGGAGAGCTGGGTGCAACCACTATCTCTTGGATTGCTGAGATCCACGAGGCCCTAGCACCCCTCTCATGCCCTAAGTTTTGTAAAATCCTGAGAAGGCCACCACTCTTGCCCACCGGACCCTTTGCGTCTTTACCTGGGAGCTGTAACTGTATTCTGACTTTCTTCCCCGGCCACCTTTTCTGCACTCGCCTCCCTTCTCTCCCTGTCCAGAGAGCACCTGACTTGATGTACACTCGTAGGATGGCTTTTTCTGTCCAGCCCGTTCTCTCTCATCATTGGCATACCCCGCTTTCTCCTTCTACCCCTCTTTTGACTGTGTCCTCCAAGATTCCACCAACTTTGGTCTATGCAGCTTCCTTAACCAATCACCATCAATGCATCCCACATGTGCCTTCTGTTCCCTTGCCCTGCAATATCAATCCACAACACACCCCCGTGAAACAACCTCCAGAACTTCCATCGGGCTTACGAACTACGTTCTAAGCTTTCAAAATGGTTAAAAATCACTTGAAAGGTGCCCGGTCCATGCAATGGAGCTAGAGGAACAGGGCAATCATTCAGAGTGCCAGTGATCTCCAATTCTTAGACATTGTAAGCTTTGGGTGACTTCAGCAAAACCATATCGCGAGGCCGGGAACTGAAAGGGCGCACTCACAAGCCCCGGAATATAGGCCATGATTGTCTGAGTGCTTAGTGGCTTAACATGTCTCCGTATAACACCTACCTGTTTGCCAATTGCATACTCAGGTTCCCAAAATCTTTGTCCATGCATCATAGAAGCAGACACTACTTCAATCCCGCCCGTGCTATGCCATCTCCTCCGGTCGCGCCTTATAACCTTCATATCCCACCCGGGTGGAGTCCTACCACCACACCTTTGACGTTTTCTCCGCTACTTCAGGTAGTCCGTTTTGTTTACTAGGTTTCCTTGGAATGCTGATGAGCGTAGATCCTTTTGACTATGGCCAAAATTGACCCTTCAGCGAAGCGTTATCGGGAGGGGAGGCTAAACTATGCTACCTTAGGAATTTTGCCGGAATCTAAGCATGATTCCGACAGCTATGCGGGGGGAAGAATCTGACACAAGTGAAGAAAATAACGAAGAGCCCACATAAGAGTACGCAATCACCTAACCGCAAAATTAGCAACGGCGATATCATGGATGCCAAGAGGGCGAACTGACCTAAAATCTGAACTCTACCGGGTACACTGATAGATCTGAGAGGTGGAGACTCTGGTTGTCTGCACTCTAGATTCTGGTGAGGTAGGGCTCTGTGGGATATTATTTCAAATTTTATGACTAATTTCTTGTAACAGTATTATCAGCAACCCTGGATTTTCTTTCATTAGAGATAGTAAATTCATTTACTATAAAGTTAGCAGAAACTATGAGGGTTATCTAAGTTATCACGACGTTATTGGCCTATGAGATACTTATGATAGCAATAGGAGGTACGGTGACAAGCACGATCTCTTCCGTGATGAGGATTTACTTTGCCCAGATGTGGAAAGCATCTCCGGAGAGAGCCATGATCTTGAGGACCCTTCACACATGGAGCAGGTTGCCGGAGAGGAGGCAGGGGACCCTTCGAGGCCTATGATTTGCTACTATCACTGGGCAGCAGTGTTCCCAACCGTCCCGGGCAGGGTGGGTAAGGACAGCAGGGCATGGCATCCGTCTTTGATAAAGACTGCCGTCCGAGGGGTTGACGCGCGGGCCCGGGGGTCTTAATACAAATGGAATCTTCCGGCCGTCCTCACCAGGGACCGGCCGTCATTCACAGAGCCCGACCGTGATTCGCAGGGCCATTTGCAGGTGACACCTATAGGACCCGGCCGGCCGTCCAGGTAGTGGTTAGGACGGACTACATGATAGGCATGCGTCCAGGGCAGAGTTTCAGAAACCGGTGTCCGTCCCGTCCGAAGCCAAGGACGGACGTACTGGATGCTTGGGAACACTGCTGGCCAGAAGGATGAGATAATGGAGGAAGTGGAGGCGGTTGGCAAGAAACCTAATTCTATGCCTTATGATAGTAGAGAGGAGCACGCGGGAAATTACAAGAGGCGGAAAAGGAAGGGAGTTGGAATCATGGCGATTTCTGGGAAGATAGGGAAAATAAACAAGCGAAGAGATGAAAAACAGGGAGAGCAGGCATGTGATCTCAAAAGAAAACCCGGGATATTCTGCAGGTTACAAGTTATAAGGTACAATGAAAAATGAGCAGACATATCATAATTGAGCTAGGTGTGAATGTGGAAGCGGGTCTGGAATAAATAGGAAATTCGATAAAAATGAGAAGATAGCAAAGAATATCAGCAAAAGACTAGCACTAGCATCCAGAATACTAACCTCCCAGTCCCAATAGAAGAGGAAACTAAAATTGCGCACAGCACCCTAACTAAACTGGTTAGATTTGGTCTCTGTCCACAGGCCAGATGCCAACATAAAACAAAAACAAAACTGAAGTGAATTCTGACCTGTTATTGCCTATGACGATTTAGGAGGAGGGGGCCCGGTCAGTGGTTGTTGTATGAAGGGTTAGATTGTAGTTGTTGGACCGGAGGGTTTTGAGGATGAAAGAGATTGGTGTGGCATAGGTAACATCGCATCGATCGCAGGGACCAGCACCCCCAGTAAGGAGACCTCCTAGACGTCCCTGGGAGTCAACAATGGCTGCACCAGAGTCTCCCCTCTGAGAGAAGGGGCCACTTTGGTCATCATAGTTGAAAATTGGCCATTCCATCGAGGTTACTGCCTTGCCCTTCTCATCATAGTAACGTACATAAGATGATATAGGGTTTGCACGACCGAAAGTAAGACCGGTAGTATGCCCGCGCTTTAGGACGATAAGACATGATTCATGATTCTGATCGTACACCGCAGGCAAACGCATCTCATTGTCAGGGATTGTACCTTGGATCTGGAAGAGGCGGTTGGTTGGATATGTAAGGGAGTGGCTATTCTCGGGATGTGGAAACATCATGCGTGTGAATTCGCCAGGTCCCATCTTAGTACCCAGATCAATCACATTACCGTTGAAGCTGCCAATATCGATCTTTGATTGGTCAACCTCGATGAGAGCAAAGTCCTGGGTACACTTCTCTTCACCGGCTCCATATTTTAAAACTGGAGAGAAGAGGAGTTGTCCAATAATGCGGTTCTCAAGATTGCTCCAGCTCTTAGCAACCTCCTTGTGGAGTTTTCGAAGGGCCACAATTGCATCCTCGGCCCTCTTTAGAGTATTCTCCTGATATGCCCGTTGCTTTATAGCCTCTGCAGAGTTTATTTCCCCTTGTGCAACTCTTTCAAAAACCTTCTGGAGAACTCTCTTCTGGTACCCAGCGTCATATTCCTTGTCACTGATGGCAATTGTGATACGTTTGAGATAATCCCCGAAACCGGAAGGGCCGAAGAGGGCAATTTGATTCAAGCGCTGGCTAGAGACCTTGTGCTCATGTACCTTGTTGTCTGTGTCAAACGGGAGGACGACATGACGTGCAGTTACTAGATAAAGCTGCGAGTTACTGTCTGTTAGATAAAAACCCCCAGTTCCCTCAGCCCAGAGGGTACGGGTAGCACAGATCGAAAGGCCCAGAGTGGAAGTAAGAGGCTCCCAGAGATCCGCAGTTGGGTCGCATGGTCTGGCCGGCTTCAAAAGCTTCGGGCTCGAATATTGAGTTACAACAGACTCACGGATCTCCACTTCAACATCGAGGATCTGGTGTTCCAAGAGAAGACCCTTGCACTGAATAGCAACAGCATGGCCATCTTCTCTTGAAAGAGTGCCAGGCTGTACACCAATCCAGATGATTACCGGGGGGAGAAATTCTCCAACCAATCCAATCCGGGCCACATCCGTACTTGTCCACTTCACCCCCTGAGACTCCAGGGTTTTATGGATCTGTGGCGCAAGACTACCCTCCCAGATTTTCCCAAGAGGGTGATTGCCGACCGTGCGAAGCCATTTGGCAGAGGGGTACCCTGGGGGACAGACAGGGGGCTTCCAGAGAGTTGCGCTGGTACGAGCAACCAGAATTGGCCTTGAGTATAGGCCATAGTAGTAGAGATTGGCCTCCATGGACGAGATAGGAGGGCGGGGAAACACAGCACAACTTGGTGACGAGGTCATTCTGAACGGGAGGATAGTATTTTGAACAATTATGAAGGAAATACCCAAATTTGAAGCAGAGTATAAAGAACTGGAACTGGCACGACCACTGAGAGACTTGTTGTTCGGTGACCTACCCCCACATACAGTTGTGGCCAGAAGGGACCTTTTAAATACATGCATCCATGATCAACTCTTCCTGGGGTCTCTTAACACAATCACGCCATTTCTGTATTTTCTTACACCATCTCCTTATCCCCCTTTTCCCTTCACCGCTTTCCTGCTTTGGGCCAACTTTTATGCCCTCGTTTTGCATACCTCACAGAGTACCTGACTTCGGTGAATCTTCCGATATTCCTCTCAAATGCTCTAATAGAATAACAGGTAAAAATTGTTTCTCTGGTAGCGCCGGTGATTAACAACAAGTATTGCGGGACGATGGAGAGGCGAGAGTGGATGGATGGCGCGGATCTATACTACGGGCCATGTCCGTGTTCTCAATGTGTTTACTGTGCTCAACTTTGAACTACTAGGTCCGGAGTGCGGATGTAAGGAGTTAGCATGGGAAAAGAGGGATTGAGTTATGGGTAGGCACAATCCATGGTTAATGTAGACGGACGCAGTATGGCAGTTTGCCGTGTTAGACTTTCTAGGGATAGCCAATGAGTTAGACTGTGACTTGCATGATTAACCAAATACAGAATCGGGCTAAAACTATCTCTTGGGAGTTTGATGATCTTACCTCATTCAGCAAATTTAGGTTTGTGTAGTCAGGTAGTTTTGGGAGGATGACGTAATGTTTTTCGGCAGGAGAAACCAGCCAACTAAGGGTACATTTTGGGAGTAGGTGCAACTTGCGGGTTAAAGGTATTTTTTTTTTCAAACCGAGTGACTTGAGGGCTCAGGGTATGTTTCTTGGAAACGGTGTTCTCAACCGTCCGTGGCCCTACGAAGAGACTGCCAAGAGCCTGGGACAGGGCGGGACAGCAACACATAGTCCGTGCTTTTCCTTGAACTCATAGGACGGCCGTTACGAGGAAGGACGATGAGCCCCACAATTTGAGACAACTTCTGTTAGGGGACTGCAGGTGATTACATAGGACTCCCGGGGATCGTAGGGGACGGTGGGGGACGGTGGGGAAGGGTTGGGGGTTTAAGGGATGGCAGGGGACGATGGGTGACTGTGGGTGACGGTAGGGAACTGTCGGTGGATGGTCCTTTACTCTTATGTGTCGGGCAAGTTCAGGAAAAGACCGGACGGGACGACACAATGCAGTCCGTCCTGGTCCTTCATTCCTACTTGTCGGGCATGTTGAGAAAATGACCGGACGGGACGACAAAATGCCGTCTGTCCTGGTCCTGGTCCAGGATTCACGGACCGCCCCGTTGCGAACACTGCTTGGAAACGAAGAAACTTTGGGGCTAAGGGTATTTTCTTTTCTGGAGGGACAAACTGGTAGGATGAAGATATGCTTTTTTCCACTGAGTCGAACTTGACGGGTCAGAGTATGTTGGTTCAATGGGTGAAAGGTATGATAGACCTTGTTAGTAGATTGTGGGGGGACCTAGCCACGTGATACTTGCAGATTAGTTTGTAAATCCTTTGCTGCGCACGGGTGCTTGTGGTCCACTGTGGTGAGAATCGGAGGCATGTCTTCCCCCATGGTCTGATCTCAGTCGACACAAACAACTTGCTTCCTGTAACTGCCGTGCCTGTTTATACTGCACTTCTAAAGAGTAGTGAGTACTGAACACAGAACCACTGTCCACTTAGTGGGGCAATAAGCGAAGCAAAATCTTTAGTGTAAAGTTGTGCTAGGTGCTATACCCTGTGGGCAGCTATGCTAGCAACTCGGGTATGCAGGTGGCAAACAATCAGAGTATGAAGAAATCTTTTTAAGTTACCGGGAGACCCAAGTTCTGAGGGATCTTGTGAGTTTTTTTGGTAGAGAACTAATGCATATTGCCATAAAGCAAGGGTAAGCGTGGCTGACGTCCAGAAAAATTTCTTAAAAAAAAAACCCCGCCCCGGGACTATGACTGCATTCCCTAACAAGTGAATGATGGGCTGAGGACTGATATCATAAAAAGTGTTCCGGCTAGTTTCTTGGAGATTTAGGATATACTAAGGGTAATTGAAAGCGCAAGCAATCAGCACGGATTGCAATTACTGATACAACATGTCACTAGAGCCCTGCAGGGGTTATTGAAAGCCGATGCTGTCCATAGAAAGATGAAAATCCATCCTAGAAGGACCATAATGCACGGGGACCCCTATTCTGTTGCAAAAGGGACTCAGGATAAAGAAACCCTATCGGTTGAAGGCCTGGCCTGCTGCGGCGATTAAATACCTGTGAGTGAGATGGCTACAGTACGCGATAACTTAAGAGAGCAAAATGCCCTTTCGCTCCCTAATCGCCAGTATTCCCTTGCTCTGATTAGGTTAAGTTGAGCTTATACTCCTTCCAAAACAGTCATAAGTCTAGAGTTTACCCGCACTCACTGGGAGGTAACATAGATTTCCTTGCGGAATATCTTGGGCTCAATTACGGCATCTTTGGCCTGTTTTACAGTGTTTCGTTTCTGGGGACACGCGCAATTCGTGTGTTCCGGAAAGACAACAACCTAACTTCGACGGGAGGTGCTGGTTGCCTGAGTGTGGTAACCTATCCTTTTTGAGATACTGGGGATTGGGGGGCTAGATTCAGATTTCCCAATTGCAAAACGGGAGCCTGGAAAGCCACGGATACCGTATGCTAGTACATTGGAGTCAGAGCTCCGTATGTCTGCATCATCCCCCTATACCCAGAGTGCGGCTGATGCAATGGAACCGCTTCTTGTTCAAGCTGTGGTGATGGGATGGCAGGATGGGGAGTTTGGGGGGAGGATTTCAAAGTAGAGGACTGTTGGCGCTGTTAACAGTAATTCCTGGCACACTCTACGAACAGCAGCCGAAGTGCATCGGGAATGAAGTTGGATAGGGGACACGAATGAAGGCAGCAACACAAGTGCAAGAATGATGGACTTAAGGAGGGGGGAAAGTGAGGAAGGACAGAGAAGAATCGATGATCGATGATGATGATGTATCTAAGGTAAGGGCAGAACGGGAGATATATATCTACAAAGCAAAATCCCTAGAACTCCAAAGATAATTATCGCAAACGAACCACGCTATCCTAACGCACCATGATCCTCCATGCTCCAAACCAGAACTCTCATGAACCCCCAACAAAGAACCAGATGCGTAGAAGGATGAAATGCAAACGAAGCCAATCCCGACATCCGATACTCTAGGGCAACAATGTGAGATATGGAACCTAACACCTAAGGCCCAAAAATGGAAATTATCTCTGCTAAACTGCCATCCTGCCTGCCGGATACGGATTCAAAAAAGGGGGTCAACCGGCGGTGGGTCTGGTGTGGGGTTCATCTTCGCTGTATTTGTATTTTCAGCAGGAGTGGGAGGGACGTAATGAGCTATAGGACTGTTCTGAAAAGGCCATTTCTTCAGCAAGGATGCTGTCCCGGGACAACGGAGGGGCAGAAATAGTGGGATGGTGATGATTTATATCTATATCAAGGTCGGCGTTCAGAACATGTTCAGCGTGTTCAACAACTTGTATATGCTGGGTGCTGATGTAAGAGGTTAGAATGGGAAACAGAGCATTGAAGAGTAGGGACATACAATCCAGGGTTAACAGAGGCGGGCACAGTGGCGCAAGGTTGCGGAGCTAAACTTTCTAGAAATTGTCAACAAGCCAGACCGCGACTTGCTTAATTAATAAAATATAGAATCATAGCCGCTTAACTAGAAGAACCCCTTAGGAGTTAGAATACACCATCTTGTGGAGCAAATTTAGGGTTGTGTAGTGCAGGGAGGGTTCTTTCAGGTTAAGGGTATTTTTTCCTGGCCGGTGAAATTTGCCGGGAAAGGGTGCGTGTCTGCAGCGAGAGCTTTCGGGCTAAGGATATCTTTTTTAGCAGGAGAAACTAACGGGATAAGGGTGTGATTCGGTCAAAGGGATAAGCTTGCGGGTTAAGGGGTTTTTTCTTTTTTTTTTCGGACTGACGAACTGGCAGGATGAGGGTATGCTTTTCTCCAGAAGGACAAACGTGCTGTATAAGGGTATGGTTTTCCCGTGGGAGAAACGAGCCCGGCAAGGGTGTTTCCGCAGCGGGGGCAAGTTTCAAGCCTCAAGCCTAGGGTATGTTTTATGAGCAGGGGAAACTCGCAGGATGACGCAGTATTTATTTCAAAGGGGTAAACTTATGGGATAAGAATATTTTGTTTTTGTTTTCAGACGGACGAACGGGCAGGGTGGGGGTATGGCTTTTTCTAGAGAGACAAACTTGTAGGATAAGGGTATGTTTGCTCGAAGGGAGGAAGGTCTGGTAGTGCTTGTAAGTAGCTTTCGAGAGGGCTTAGCGAGGTGATACCCTCAGTGAAGATAGCAAATATCTTGCTGCGACAGGGTGCTTCTGGTCAACTGCAGTAGAAAGCCAAACCATCTCTCTCCCCTTGCGCCATCTTGCTATCCACCTACACAACTCGCTGTCTGTCACCCGAACGCGTGTTTTTACCATGCTTCTATAGGGTGCCGTGAATGGAACACACTCCCTCGTGGCTTCTTAGCGGGGCCATCATTAATGGAAGATTCCTGGTATTGAGTCATGTCGCATGCTATGCCCTCCGTGCAGCTATGTCGGCAACCTGGGTATGGGTATGGAAATCATATAGCTTTGAGAAAGAAATATTTTTACTAGGAGACCCTATGTTCCACGCGATCTTGTGAGCTTTTTTGGTGGAGAACTAATGAACATCGCTCTAAAGCTATGGTAAGTATGGCCGACGTGGGGAATTTTTTTTGAAAAAAAAAATTGGACAATGTCGGGATTCCCTAACAAATAAACGATGGGCTGAGGGCAGATATCATAAAAGGTTTTCCGGGAAGTTTCTTTGAAATTTATCATGAATCAAGGGTTACTACAAGAGCAAGCAATCAGCACAGATTACAATTACC